ATTATTTAATAAAAGAAGAGAATAGTTTGTTATTATAAACATTTAAAAATCGAAGAACTATAGGTGAGCAACGGTGCGGTTCATGTATTGAACCAAATGAAAAATCAAAATTATAGAATTTTTTAAAAATTGAAATCAAAACGAAAAAATTTCCGTCCTAAAAATAACCAAATTAATTTGCACCGAATTGTTCAGCTCAATTTTTTAGATTTTTATGCATGCATATGAGTTCGATTCGTGGAAAATTGCATCCAATTGAAAAAAAAAAAAAAAAAACCCAACGAAAGTATTTATTTCCAAACTGAACCGTACCCGATAGTACACTAATTTGTTGCTCGATATTTAAGTTTGGATTGTTTAAGAAAATAAAAAAAAAAAAAGAAAAGAAAAGAAATTGCCAAAACTTGTAGCTAACTTGACAGTTATGCATTTGAATTGATACTATTTGGAAGAGTGCAAGTTGTGACGTTGAAGTTGGGTTTGTTTGTCATTTGGAAATTACCTTGTAATTTCGGGGGCACACTTTTTCCCACATCGAGCAAGCATGTCATGAATCACCTCAGAGTTTCTATCTTTCTCTTTTTTTTTTCCCCTTAAGTTATGAGCTTTTGCAAGTTAGGTGGTCAATATTAATGAAATTCTAAGCAAAATCATTAAATTCTTATGTGGATCGGGCTAATCATTAGACATTAGTCGGATCAAATCGTTAAATGTTTTTAATAGAATTGTGTACTTATACTATAAAATATTATATTTTTATTTATATTATTTATAAAATTATGACATATTAGCTAGGAATCTTTTGTAAATTATGTTTTCAATGAAATTGTAAGTAAAATCACAAATACTTGTATGAATCGGACTAGCAGTTAGCCAAATGCAGGGGCGGATTCAGCTCGAAATATGAGTGGGGGTCTGCTTAGTTGTTTATAGAAAACAAATATAATACATCAAATAAAGTATAATAAAAAGTAGACATTCGTAGAAATTCTTATGATTCTTCATAACTTGGTATGACTCTACAATAAGGTCTTTACATTTTCTTTCGGCCTAACAATATTATAATTCACCTCAAGTATATTTGGAATAAAAGTAGCTAATTTTAAAAATATTTTAACATGCACTTCTTTGTCAAGACTATTTACAAAAATAATTCTCCATAATTTCATATAAAAATTTAAAAAATAAATTGTAATGTAAAAAATGTTTGATCTAATATATCAAACTTTTAAGAGCAATACAAGTTATCAGTCACACACAAATTTAAAAATGTTAATAGTGTTTTATGAAACCACATTCAATTAGTCTATTTTATGTTTTGGTTTGGGCCGTTGGCCTCTGTAAGTCTGAGCAGGAGCAACTTTTATTCTCCTGTTGGGAGCAGCTCCTGTCTCTATTCTCTTGTGGGGTGCTTTGTCGTTCTTCTTGTGTTTTGTCGTGTTAGTTGTTTCGTAGTGGCAGTTGTTTTTTTAGTCTTGTTTTTGTTTCTAGCGTTGCTAAAGTCGGGCCTCATTTTAATCTCCCGTTGGGAGCGTTATATCTTTTATTCGCACATTTGTGCATTTGGTTATATAGTTCCCCTATCGTTCCGGCAAAAAAAAAA